GGCTTACTCTTATTATGCATGAATAGTATCGCACATATAATTTACGAGCAATATTGTAAAGTTATAGCAATTGTTATGATTAAATTAATGAACTATTAGTTATATGACATTGGGTATTCACCATATTGAATACTTAGCAAAATATATTAGGATTTACTGGAACCACAACTTGAATGCAATTATCGTATTGCTTTTGAATAATTTGGCAATAAAACTCATAGTCAAACGTTTTGTTACTGTTTAACTGTCCGTTAATTAGACAACAAACGTTCGGGTACCAAATCTAAGGAGAAAAAACGGTTTGGAATAAAAAATCAGTGATCACTGGTTTCTCTAATTGATTTTCTCGGAAACAATAATAATACTCTCACTAGAAATTAGATCGGTTAGTGATTTCAGTGAAACTCAACAGTCTCCAAAACCCAGTATTGACTGTTATCATGTACTTACTAGTGTCTAGCTTCGAGAGGGAATTTCCGGAATTTTAGTGAGAAGCCGTGACCAGTGGAGCTAAAGCATTTCAGGTATGAAGAAGTCACCCGCCGAAAACAATCGGAGGTAGTCACGAAATATCGTAGATTGAAGTTAAACTTGTACGGTATTGAACCTTTGCTCAGTGATTTAGGGGCTAAGCGGAGGTCCTGGGTTCGATTCCTGTTTGAGAGTCGTGGGTGTGCACTGTTGATTAGTCCCATACTAGGACGAAACAACTGTCTAGTGTTCTCAAGTTTTCAGTTGTTGTCTAATCTAGATCGGTTCGTGGTTTCAGTGAAATTTATTGTACTGTTAAAGTGTAAAAAAGAACTCCGTCATTAAAATGAGAACATCACATGTGAAGCAAACAATAGTTTTTAACTACATCGTCATCAGGCTTTACTTTAATATACAGGAATAATTGTATGAATATTTTAAACCAACTAAGGTAATTTATGAGTTAATCATCACAATGAAATTGTTTGCACAACTACACGTGATAGGTAAAAAGTACAAACTGATAGTAAAAAAACAAGTTTATTGGTAGTAGTAAGAATAATAAAAATAACAAAAGTTCTAATATAAATAGTTCAACATACAAAGTGGGTCAAACTTGGATAAATAGCCACTGAAAATTATTACTATTACATAATCAGATTTGTATAAAAAATTAGACAGAGAAGAATATAAATGGAAGGAAGTAAAGGACGACAGAAAAACATAGGCCGTATAAAAAATCAGTACAATCGTTTATCAAATCATATCCGGGACTCCTATCCCTTTCTTGGTCATGCCACCGAATTTCTTCAACAACTGATTGTTATCGTTATGGAGATCCCAACCAGGAGCTCCGTAGCTTTTTATATTACTTAAATCATCATTTGATGACTTTATGGATTGATGCCATGTCCCGGTTGAGCTGCTTCTATATCAGCTAATATATTTGGTTAACTGTCACTGTTGGAGTGATTAGTCAGTAAATAGAGATTATCCGTTGTAATGTTATCTACTTTATAGCTCTGACTAAATTTTGGCCATTAAGTTTTGATTAGACATAGTTATCTAATGTTAGAAATTTGAAAGTAGGAGGAATAATAACTCTTTCTAGTTTATTGGGTATTGTGTAGTCACATACTGCTTCCCAGAAAACTATTAAACCGTTGTATAGTAACAATTAAATTATGTTGTAATCACCACTGTTTTATGTTTTTGCTAAGAATATGAAATTATATACTTTTTTGTAAATGTTAATTTCTTCTCATAAGAATAACTGCAGCAACAATTTCTGAATTCATGTTTCCATAATAACCTTCTCTTTTATGTGATTATTTATCACTACTATCACTTGGATAATTTTTTTAATTACGATGATTATTGATAGTTTTTACATATACAAAGTCATTCTAGTACAATAGATTTCTTGGATATTAAGCTTGTTCTGTACTCCTAACGTCCTTTTTTCTTCCATAGATTTGTGGTTAATTATTGATCTATTGCATATTCGTTATCCGGTTTATTGAGTTCCTATTAGGACCAGTTCATATTAGAGGAATATTTCGGACTTCCGCAAGTGACGTGCGCCCGTACCTCAAATACTTGGAAGTTTTTTTTAAACAAAAGATCGTTTCAGCATTTTGTTCTAATATACCAAATTATATTTACTGAAAATACCAATATTTTTTAGATTTTTTAATCTGATACCACGACAATTAAGACTAGTACAAATTACTTCAATAAAAATAACATGAACAATTTAGGATTAAATTCGATAGAAAGTTTTTTACAAACCATTCCACAGATACTTAGGTATTTGATTGTTATCGTTATCGAATGAATAGAGGATGAACTCCTGAAACGTTTATACTTTATTTATTGTTTTATTTCTTAGAGGCTGAAGAACAAAATCATCACTTTAACAAATATTTTCTTAGGAAAGTTTTTGGGTCAGAACAGATTGTTCAGTTAGGAATCATCTAAAAGAAACACGACAATACTTCTTAACGTAGAGTGCATTTTCAACAAATGAATCCACTTTGGATTATTAAATTTAAGTAATGAACCTGTATTAAATAAAAGTTCAGTAATCTTAATTGAGAGCCCTCGTTGACGAAGGCAAAATAAATTTTGTTCAAGCACTTAACATATTCAGTGTGCTTTTTACAGTAGTAGTGTTATAAATAAAATTAAAATATTTCCTACCATTTGAAAAATATTGAGTTTATCTGTTATTGACGATCTGATAACTCGGAGAATAACATCATATTATACAATTCACAAACAGACTGAAATTATCAACAGTGACGGTACTTTTCTCATACCTTAGTCGTTACAGTGAATTGGATGATAAATTAACAACGTTAGTTTTCGAAAAACATGAAATGGTTATTATTCCTCACATGGGCACTTTTGACTAGTTCTAGAAATCATGTAAATTGATACAAAATTTACTTTACATGCAGTTTAATTGATTAAACATGATGGAACTGGTTTTTGTTTTGAATGATAGTTTAATTCGCGAACTCTGACTTTCCGAAATTCATATTATCAACAGAGCTTCATATGCAGGTCTATCGTTGATGAGCATAAAGTTGTACATTTAAATGATATTGATTATCTACACAAATGTATCGAATACAAGTTATAATGATGGCAGACCATATGAAATTTCTCTAAGGATTTCCTAAAATGCCTTTTGTTCGTGTCAAATAAATGAAGTATCACGGCATAACTATCATTTTTATTTAGGAACTTTCGTTGATTTCTGAAAATGAACTAATCAATGGGAAATATCTGTATGAGTATGGTGACGATACCGAGTAAATCTAGGAGGGGATCTATGTTGTGAATGTGGGTAACTTATTGATTGATAAATAGATTAATTCATGTGGCGTAGCTGAAGTGATGTCCCATACTGAATATTGAAAAAATTCTTGAATAGGAGAGGTACAATGCATTTGGAGTTCAATGAATATACACCCGCCATCTTGAAGTCCAGTTGTGAGAGTATGGTGTGTGCTACTGACGTCGACAGATATAAGTAATACGTATCATCAATCGAAAGTGAAATACCTGGAGGCAGAAGATCGAAGAAAAGAAAACGAGGACAGCGAACAATTGGTGTGGAAACGAAGGAACAATCAAGTCTGGGACGACTGATTGAAATTTTGCAAATAAGGTATTTACTGTATGGTTCTCAGATTTTACTGACAAGCTGTAATACATACGATTGTCCCCAGTTGTATTCTCGTTCACTACTAGAGTACTTAAAAAATCTGGTTGATTATGATGTTTGTGTTTTGAAAATAATTATTTTGAGGGACTCCAAATGAACGAAATATTAATGTGATTTGATTGGTCCTAGCAATTGTCCCTTAACGATATTTGTGACTAATCTATGCAATTTTTCGCTTCTTGAAATGAGTTATTCACAACTGAACTTGAAAATAAAGATGACTCAAATTTTTCTGGAAAACTTAGTTTTCCAGCGCTGGTCACCTCTTTGTGATGAGAAGAGACATGTACAAAAACAAATCTTCACAGAGAGCGGTTCAACGAAGAGGTCCCTTTAAAAGTGGTTTCATCTGGAAGCCGCACAATAGCACTAAAGATATTCCATATAGTGGGAACAGAGGAATTATTTGTATTTGTTTATGTAATTTGAGATTACAAAAGGATGTTGTTAGTCTTTTTTTCGTAGTGACACCAATCGATGCCTAAGCCAGTTGATACATTAGTCGTAACAGTAATCGCGATTGATATTTACTTTTATTACATACCGATATGTAATAGATGCATTAAACGACACTTTTGATATTGAGTATACCAGTTCTTTCAATAGGCTGAAGTGATTTTGTTTATTTTCACCTAACAAGTGGATTTCAATCATATGAGATCAACTAGAGATCTGTTTGTCCCTAAGCAGTAGTGAAAAGATGCATTATCTCAGATTAGCAATATCACATAAATAACACGTAACACTTCATGATATTGAATACGAAACTCACATCTGCCTTAATGAAGCGACTGACAGAGGCGCTAGGTTGGAAACCTGAGGTACAAGACTATGCAGCTTTACTTTTAACTTCGCTAGTTCCACAGACTAGATCTGTTTACAAGAAGCGTGAATTATATTCTATTTGAATCAAGTCTTTTGTGATCAACTAGTTGTTATCATTGAGAAATGTATTACATCCCGGAATTTCTAGTAATTGCCATTCTAAGTTTTTAAACTGCATGCATACCATGCTCAATGAATCTCGCATCCTGGGTGATTGGTCTTCAAGGACACTACCAAAAATCACATAAATAACGTTTTTCCCATTGTATCATTGTCGGTTGGAGCAGAAATAAAACTTTAACATTTTCTTGTCTTCTCAATAGTCAGTGTCTGAGTTAACGTGTTGAGTGCAAAATAAAAGCGCGGCTGAAGAGTAGTTGTATTGAGTTAACTCATTGTTTTGTTAGTTTGATTCGCCTAGCTAGGGCCAAATACTAACAGCTATTTGAAGACAATATCATGATAATTTCTTCTGGGGGTTAATTAAATTTTATTGAGAATAGATAAATTTATGCACCATATACAACCCAGTTAAAATAGTCCAAAGGTATGGAAAATTCGATAAACTGGTAAGATAAAGCGACCATTTTATTAAGCATACTTGTCATTTTACCAGACAGCATGTTGTACAATTTAAAATAAATCTATCAAATATTTACTGATATGGATATTCATTTTTGTATTGATTGCTTGAATCTTCTCAGCTTATAATGATATGGATATATTTTAAAATGAATTGTGTAATAAAAACCATGCTAAATTGAACACTTTAAGCGAGTTGTTCGTAATCGTGGAAGCCCTAAGCCAGAAAGGCAACAAAAATCTGGTTTTTATATTTTGTAAATTGTTTTATGGAGATTTGTAGACGGTGATAATTTTAATTGACTTGTGTAGGTTGAATGGTGATGTAGCCACCACGAGACTTTCTAAGATGCATTAGAATAGATTTAAGATACAGCCTCATAAAATAGTGTACTTTAATTAAATGAGAAATTTAAATACCATTTGATTGATATTTATGTATAGAAGAGTACGATCCCACAGAAAATCAATTAACACGTAAACATATGTATGTGAAACAAGTGATTGATCTAAGAAGAAAATCAATTTATTGATTTCAAAAGTTTTCTTTTTCTCTCTTTATAGTATATATACATTATGTTGAAAATAATGTACGAGAATAACTGAAGTCATTTCTTTCAGATGTAATTAGTAATAATAATTTTTGATTCGTTGATGGTAGTTACAAATAAACTTGACTGCCTGCTGATTATATATTTTAGTAACTTTCACATTTCCGTACAGGTCTAGTAATGGTTCTTTGCAAAGATGATAAACATTGTCATTATCAACCAATCAACTGTCAAATCATCTTCACCATGGACTGCAACAGTAATCTTTTTTTATTCCTGAACCCTTAATCATATTAGACTACATAGTTGGCGGTAGTTTAAACAGTAATTTTCTTTCCTAGCTTCCCAGGATACATTGTTTATCGCAAATTTATTCAATCTGTGTCCGGTTTTATTATATCTTTGCCCTCGTCATGACATAAACTTCGAGTAAGAAATCAGTGGATTTTGATGATCGACTTTATTAGTGCGCCAATTCTAAATAACCACGTAACACCTTAACTTCAGTTAATTATTTAGTTCATTGTGGAACCTAATGTTTAAAACCCTTTCTCAGTATCAATTATCAACTTCTATTTTGTATGTATAACATATGGTGGTGTCAATTAATTGCTTCCGATGAATTGGTAGGAGTCTATTTTTTCAAGACAAATGACTGGATCAAGGATTTGAAATTCAACTGACAAAATTAAAGCCCTAGTAAAAGATGTATTAACTCTATATTTTTTTGATTACAAATATCTAACTGCCGAGAACATATTTATCGGAACGCAGTTCGGGTTGTACTTGGTATTTAATTGGTGCAACATGTTAGTCACTAACAATTTCTTGGGATGACCAATTTGTTTAGATTGAGTCGCAGCAGTTATGACTTACAAAAAATAATTCGCGCTGAACACATAAATGTTACGTAAATATGTATTTTGAATGTTTGCATTCAACTTTATGGTTTATAAAAAGATTGAAATCCACCTTATTCCACTGTCACTTTTCAAGTGAGTTTCAGTCAACTGAAAAGTTGACGGCATTTTACTTACTGTCCGTATTTATCATATTTGTAGGGTAGTTCGGTCCCGAGCTGAGAAAATCGAATAAAATCTCCTTTAGCCAATCAATAATGTCTTTTTGGATACAACAACAAATGTAATTATAAGCTGAACAATCGTCCAGATTTCAAGAAAACTCAATAGACACGAAGATATATTATACTGCTAACATGGATGAATAACAAAGAGCTGGAATGTATGAGTATTTGAAGAGGTTTTGCTCCGATATTACTACAAGTTAATTGTTGCTTAGGATTTTAAATTACTGATGAACGTGACAAAATCTGAAGATAAGGATATGCATCATAAAAAATGAAGTGGTAAGGTTGTTGTAATTTCTCTCATTACAACCCAGCTATTCCTATTGCTTAGTATTCTTGGACACCAATTCACTCGGCAAGTCCTCAATTCAGAATACGATTGAACAGGACCGAAATTATATCCCAAATAACAAGTATCGATAGAAGTAAGAATCACAATAAGAGAAACGTTAGTATATTTATAGTTTTTACATCAGAAGATCCTAGAGTCTTCTCCAAATATTGACTAGCGCTGATTGGGTAAGAAATAGCCAATGTGTCATCTATGATCGATTACAAAGGCTTGCAAACGGTGACTGCGTTACATTATCATTATTTACTTCAGCCTACTTGTCCAGTATGTCAGTAATTCGCTACAATTTGTTATTCCAGTGAACAGAAAGTACGAACTATTAAAGACATGTTACTAGGTTACATTTCAAATAAAAACTGGGGTGTAATACTAAGATACGTGACCACGCCGTAAGAATTCCGGTGACTCCCCACTCAAAATTTCTATCTTTTATTATCTAACTTCAAACATTGAATAGATTTTATCTATATCCTTTAAATTTGCTCGATTGACTTATGCTCTCTCCTAACTTCAGTATTTAAGTAGTGATGATAACCGATTCTAGTAAACAAACGAATATACTTTACCACATATCGACTATATAAGTAATAACAGTGGTCAATTACTTCAGTAATGACCACATAGTCATCATCTATTAAACAGCATCACTTTTAATCATAAGTTAATCTGTTATACAAATTAGAAGTAACCAATATTGATACAAACAGATAACAGAGCCATAAGACACTATCGGAACAGTCCTGTATATCATATATATAATATTGAAAGCAACAACCATTTGCTGTTATATCCTAGAGGAGATTAAATTACGAGTAACTTCTGAGAACTATTAATGGACCAATATTATACATATATTCCTATTGTATAACTATTCAGTAACTAGATTGTGTATATCTATGTTCCTCTTATTATAAGCTTCATTTTGACCTATAGATTATCATTATTATACGATTTACTGTTTTTAAAGTATGTTCAGTCAAGAAGTATGTTTGAATTAGACAATTCGCATAGTAGAAGCTGCTATGAGCGCTCTGGACTCAACTGAACGGGCTAGGTGAACAAAGAACCAATAAGGACGCTAGGCTGCTCATACCGGTCGAACGTCATTGGTTTGACACAATGCTAAGATTGTATAAGTCGTATTTCGATTGGCGGATGAATCATGTGATAACTAGTCGAGCTTAAAGTCACGTCTACCATGAAAAGATCTATATTAAAGTGGTGATTTTGTATCTTACTGGTCCTGTTTCGGTTTGGGCACCTGGGCAATATCACAGCCCTCATACAAATCAAATGAGATTGGTGTGGCGCATATGTATTCGGTGCACCTTTGTACCAATATTTATGTGTTTAAATAAATACATAATCTTACTGATGGGAAACCGATTTACCAGATTTTTTTTGTCTTTTTTGGAGATATGTAACATTTGTCCAATAGCAAGTGGGAAGTCAGAAACTTAACTCGCAGCGCACCCACGTGATCTAAGTCAAGCTGGTTCCGGTTAGCAAATCTATATTGTGAGAAACAAACTGCAAATAATGTTGATCAAACCACGTAAGTAGTGAGGCTATGCTAACTATAATTATCATTATCAGCAGTCACTTTTTATCCACTGACGTCAACTAGATTAACCAATAGGTACGAGAACAACAAAAATAACCCGTATTCCAGGGTGACGTGACACAAACTGTTCAAAAACCATGACGTATTCACATGCAAAAGATGTAGTTCCAAATTGAGCGCAGAAATCTCTGCTTGATTACTGAGTTGCATCAGATCGCAGGACGCAAGAGTGATGAGCAGAAACTTGGTACCCTTAAACGGCTGACCATTTATGACTACGACCAAGGACGTTTTACTCAGTGAATCTATGTGATATTTTTACAAGCGAAAGTAAACAATCAGTGCAAAACTAGGTTGAAATATATGGCAATTGGAAAAATCCCGACCGTTGTTGCTACCTAGACGTGGTGGTCAGGCTTGCATATCGTGATGAAGAAACCAAGCTATACTGGCTGGAACAATCGTTCCTCAAGGTCCTACTATGTCAGACAGGTCGGTTGAAGAGCGGTAAGACTAAAAGCAACAAACCTAAGGTCCGAAGGCAAAGTCATACTGCTGACTGTACAGAGGTGTGACAGCAGTAAAGTGTTTCCTTCAGACAACCAGCACGACAGCGATGCTGCATTCCCACAAGGAGGGGTGGGGTTAGAAAAGGTCGACCCTAAAAATGCACACCTCGCCTTATCCCACGGATATCCGTCTCCGGCGGTAAGGTCTCAACAAGTACGGAGCTAACACAAAAGTTACCCACAAAAAGGTCGTGTGTGACCGACCTCAAGCAGTTGTCCCTTGGGCACTGCGGTCACTAAGACAAACTCTAACCCAATTTCCCTTTCAGGTACCTTCAGAAGAACCCTTCCACTGTGGGGGCAGCCGGGAAGTGATAACCGCCTTCATACCTCTAACAGCACTCAAGACCACTGTATTCATAATCAACCTCCCTCTTCAATTCCTATTATTCCTCCTACATCGACTTTCACCTCTAAACTTCCTCTTTCGGCTTCCCCCTCAAGTGTCACTACAGCCAACGATTCTAGTGCTCAAAACACTGTCCTAGGTCTACTGAAACCTCGCTTCAAACTACACATTGGAGCCTTTAACGTACGCACCCTATGTAAAATCGGTCAACAGGCTTCCTCGGCTAGGATCCTACAATCTCGTACTATTGATGTATGTTGTGTCTCCGAAACACATATACAGGATCCCAGTGTGGTCATTCACTTGACCTCACCTCGGCAAATTGGAGAGCCAATGAGATACACCCTCCGTGTATCTGGTGATCCGACGGCCAGCTCTCGTGGACTGGCAGGAGTAGGCATAGCACTAAGCATGAGGGCGGAACAAGCACTGTTAGAGTAGATCCCCGTTAACAGTCGTCTATGTGCTGTTCGGCTAAACGGCTCCGTAAGAACTCGGAAGGATAAGGACACACGTCGTTGCCTTTTCGTCGTTTCTGCCTACGCTCCCACTGACTGCAGCTCAGATGAAGTGAAAGATGAATTTTACAGAAAGTTATCTGAACTTCTTCAGAAAGCTAAACGTTCAGACATAGTAATCGTAGCAGGTGACTTTAATACCCAGATAGATAGTTTAAACCAAACAGAAAGGCATTTAGGTGGGTATTTTAGTATTCCGGCACAACGAACAGACAATGGTGATCGTCTGCTGCAACTGTGCTAAGACAATCGTTTATTTTTAGCAAACACAAATTTCAAGCATGAGAGACATCGTCTAACATGGCGGCCCCCTACACAAAACCAACGATGGACTCAAATAGACCATATTGCCAT